TGTAGTTTTGGAGTCGTGCATGGTTTGAATGTTTGTCATGTTAATTTGCTTTGAATGTTAGGCTTTGTTTTTGCTAATGGTGCTTTATGTAGGGGATCATATATTTGCATGAATTATCAAAGTGTAGGTCAAATAGTGTAATTGTTCTATGTGAACCAAGGGTGGAATGTGTGTGGCTCACCACAGGGAGGAGGGAGCAAGCTTGTTTTCTGCTTCCTTGGAGACTAGGATGCGGAACAGTGGCTTCAAACTACAAGAGAGGAGATTCCATCTGAACATGAGGAAGAACTTCCTGACTGTGAGAGCCGTTCAGCAATGGAACTCTCTGCCCCGAAGTGTGGTGGAGGCTCCTTCTTTGGAAGCTTTTAAACAGGGGCTGGATGGCCATCTGTCAGGGGTGATTTGAATGCAATATTCCTGCTTCTTGGCAGGCGGTTGGACTGGATGGCCCATGAGGTCTCTTCCAACTCTTTGATTCTATGATTCTATGTTTTTGACTTCAGCTGTCAGCATCCCTCACAGTTGGTTATGCTGGGATTTGCAGCCAAACCAACATCTGGCGGATTGAATGTTTCCTACCCATTGTATAAATACTTCTGTGTGCATTATTTTGCAACTCTTTTTTTGTATTCTGTAATGTGAAGAAATGCCAGATATTTTAAAATTGGTTAAGTACAAGGAATCGTATATCAGTGCTGATTGAGCAATTATAATCTGAACTCTACTCAGTATAGTCTATCAAATTTTAATTCATAAAAATTATAATACAAATGTACTTGAGTAATTCTGCTGATGATGCTAGTGTCCCTTATAGCGTATTGCATCTGCTTACCTTTGTATCAGTTATTTGCAGATAACTGTATTTGTAGGACTGTGAAAGCCACAGATGTATTTCTGCATGCTTTAGCAGCATCAACATTATCTATATGTGGTTTAAGAAGAATGACTATGATATTGTTAGTCTGAAAAGGTGCCCTAGCAAATTTTGGTAATTCCCAAAATTGTGTAATTTTAATTGATTTTCTCTCTCAATACTGATTTCACCCCTGGTGTTGCCCACTTCATTCCTACTTTAGGTCCAACTCTGGAAGAAAAGTTGGATAGAAAAAAAACCCCAAAGAGACAAAAACTCAAATTAAAAATATAGTTTTTGATCTTTTGAACTGTGGTGCTTTTGTTTTCCACTCCAGTACACATGAATGTCAAGTTTGGATGTACTCTATGCAAAGGTGTATTTCCTGATTTAAGCAATCCAAACTGACACCCTGAACTGTGCATGTGAACATATAGATGTATTCTCTAACACATGACAGATCGATTCTGAGATACACTGGTAATCTTTTTGGGAGAGATGGAGAAATGAATCCAGGTTCATCTTCTGTCTTTGCAAAAGGTTTGCTTATTGTTCAGGATATCTTTTCAGGTGATGAGCAAAGACCCTTGCCTTCAATCACAGACCTTGGAAGATCTGTAGACCGGCTTGTGCATTTATGTCTCCAGTAAGGTCTAAATGAAGTGCGATATTTTAAAGTGAACTTGGCGGAAAATGTAAATAGTTGCTATGGATGTGCTGATATTGAGCTGGGATCTCAGCAGGAAGGGAAGCAGAATTTAACTCCTCTGCCACCATTTGGTCAAAACAGATTACTTTAAAGCTGCTTCTTGCACTGAAATAAAATCTTCTGATGGACTTCCCTTCCAATGTTCATGGCTCCAAGTAATTATCAGCTCTTTCTAGCCATGGCTATTTGCATTTTTTAAAAGTGCATCATTTAATTCACATCTAGCTTAACCTTTAATTTTAACATTTGGGTATGTTATTTAAGCCCAGTATTTTATTACGCCTGTTTTGTTTCAAAAGGCTATTTTAAGAATTATGCTTTTGTTTTAATACAAACATGTATGTAAACAGGCTGAGATTTTTCACATTTCTGTATATTGTGTGATTTACTGTACATTTGTAGTAGAAGCTCACTGACTTACAGGAAAGAAAGCTAACTTAAGTTCTATGTATTGTCGAAGGCTTTCATGGCCGGAATCACTCAGTTCTTGTGGGTTTTTTCGGGCTATATGGCCATGTTCTAGAGGCATTTCTCCTGACGTTTCGCCTGCATCTATGGCAAGCTTCCTCAGAGGTGAGGTCTGCTGGAGCTGGGAAAAGGGGTTTATATATCTGTGGAATGACCAGGGTGAGACAAAAGGCTTTTGCAAGTTGGGTTGGGTGTGAATCTTTCAACTGACCACCTTGATTAGCATACAGTCAGCCCATTGTATGCTAATCAAGGTGGTCAGTTGAAAGATTCACACCTAGCCCAACTTACAAAAGCCTTTTGTCTCACCCTGGTCATTCCACAGATATATAAAACCCCTTTTTTCCCAGCTCCAGCAGACCTCACCTCTGAGGAAGCTTGCCATAGATGCAGGCGAAACGTCAGGAGAAATGCCTCTAGAACATGGCCATATAGCCCGAAAAAACCCACAAGAACTGAGTAACTTAAGTTCTGTTGGTTTAATACTTGTGTCTAAATTAACAAAAGAAATTTTAACATTGGCGGATCACTCCTAAGTTAGAAGCAACTTTGTCTGATTACCTGGCCTGTTATATGTACTTTTATCTCATTTTCTTCAGAGGGTATAAATTAATAATAATGTAATTAATTTAAAATTGATTGGATGGCGGAATGAATTTCTAAGTCACAAGATTGCTATCCTTAGCACTACTTAAGTTAATTTTTGCAAGAAGATCTGGACGATAATTTCAAGTTCATATAATGAAATTTCTTATTTTAGAATAGTTATTCTAAAGAGCAAAAGTGTATGGCACTGCCTCATTTTAATCACATACCAAGCTTTTAGATGCCTTCCATTTCAATCCATTTTTTCACTACCATGCTTTCCTTAGCAGTGCAATTGCATGAGGTTTTTCAAACTAAATTTTTGAATATCTTCTAACATTTTAATATTTAACTTGGAATGAAGTCTGCTGAAATCAGTGGTAATTATCAAGATATACATAGTTGGTTTGAGATGAAGTTTCCCCCCCTGTATTTATGGTAACCCCTCTGAAAAAGACTATTTTTGGTGAAGTTATTTGTACTTCAAATTTAACCACATTGCAAAGAATTCTTACATATTATAGGGAATAAGTGGAAAGATGTATTTGGTTTTTCAGTAGATCCCAGCAGGGTGCTGGTGAAGATTTTGGAAATTAAACACGTATATTTTATCACAAATATTTTAGTGTCTTAATTTTTCAAATGTTTTTATCACATCAATAGTTTTTATTCCACTGTATCATTCAAAAGTTATGTGGTTTAGATCCAGAATTTTCATCCCAGGGGTGGGAGTGCCTGGTACTTAGAGTTTTGCTTAGGAGGCTTTCCTCAGCCATGCAAAGGGACCAAGTCATGGCCCGTTTCTTCTCCCTATTCACATCCCACACTGTTTGAGAGATTCCCAAAAATTTTGGATAACAAATTGTAGGAGAGGGAAGAATCATGTAACCATCTCCTTACTTGTTCTTTTACTGAAAGTACTTCACTGGATCAGAAGGGTTTGCTTCCCTACAGAAAAGAAATACTGATCTAACCATGTTTTTTAAAAAAAGAAGTTGTCATTCTACCTGGAGAAAAATCACAGAATCCATGTAGTGCTGTTGCTGTACAATTACTGATATATGTTTTGATTGACTTTTTCTCGATCGGATTTATCAAATTGCTTTTTCTGTCTCAATTGTTTTGGATAACTCAAGAACCTTTGCTTATTTTTATCGGCTTTTAGAGTATATTGTGTTAATCTTTCTATCCTTGGTTTTGCTTTTTTTGAATTGTCAAGAAATTAAACAAGCTGGTAGGGGGACACTTGCTCGTATCTTCTTTGTCCTGTATTTGCAGCATAAAAGATCTGGGTTTGATCCTATTTTCAGAACAACTCCTCTGTAAGTGACTTAAGATTTTTGACTTTCTGTGTACCATAGATTCAGGGTAAATGTTACACTTCCTAAGCTGCCATCATCATGTCACATGGTTAGGAGAATTTTACTGCACATCAGCTGTGAATATGTGAGAAAATAGTTGTCTGTATGCACCTTGTGTTAGTGTGCTTCTTCATTTGTTGTGGCAGAAGCATTTTCTAGCAATGTAACCCCGTGTATGTATTTCTTGTTTCTCTTACGTCCCAAGATAATGATCAAAAAAGTGTTTACCTATAGAATCTGTAGTGGAAAAAAAATATCAAAGGAGATATGGTTTCTAAAGTAGGCTTGGCCAACCTGGTTCGCATCAGATGCATCTGACAAGTCCTGTAATCCCAAGAACACATGCGGGATGAACATTGTTGGGAAGGTTGTTATGTATAAGGCCCATAATTCTGACTGACATCAGGGCTAGTACCTCAAAGTGTGCTCAGGGGTAGAATGAAGTGAACTGATGAACTGGTTGATGTCCATCAAGATCAGAGGCTGAGTATTTCCTTTTGTCAGCTACAATCTCTAAATATTTTCCAAAAATGCTTTAATGGAGTGACTTATACTCCAAGATCTCAGCCAACCTAAATACTGTTATCCGGATAATTTTGCTAATATTAATGCAGAGATTTCAAGCAGATTCTGCCAGTGAAAAGTCTTTCTTCTCTGTGATGTTACTGGCTACAACCAATCAAGATTTGTGCATAAAATCTTGATTGGTTTTGATTAAGCAATTCTAATCTAATTCAGAGCTAGCAAGAAACATATGTTGTCATTTTTTGCTTGTTCTCACTGGAACTAGTGGGAATATCCCTGGAGACGTCATTGGTGTATCCCCATTTTTGAAAACAGAATGGTAGGAAGTTAGAAGTCACCGACTCCCATGAATTAACTTTCCAATAATAACAGAATATAATAATAATAATAATAATAATAATAATAATAATAATAATAATATCCTACAATTAAAAAATGTGCTCTTTTAAATGCCTTCATGTCTGGATATTTATCTTTTAATTCTATTATTTTGCATTAGGCTCCCGTAAAGAATCTGCTCCCCAAGTGCTGCTTCCAGAGGAGGAGAAAATAATTGTAGAAGAAACAAAAAGTAATGGTCAGACTGTGATAGAAGAAAAGTAAGATGATTTTTTTTAGCAAACAATGAATTTTGAACAGTCTGTGCGCTTGAAAACAGGACGTTTTGTCTGATATTTTTGCTGTGTGTAAACTTACTCCTTGCACACTCTGTGGTCTTGTAGTTTAAAATGATGAATATCCTACTGGAATTCATTGCTGAATGCCCTATGATGTCTGTGGTCTGACTGTACAGCCCATTTAGGTCAATTTCAACCATCTTGGGTTCTCTAACTTTTCTTTTTGCATCTTTCTTTCTTCAACCTTGTACCAGCTGGGAATTGATCAGTTTTGTGGGTAAGGTGTCATTCTTGAGTGCTCTGGGATTTCTGCTCTTAGTAATGTATAGGATCCCTAGATGCTTTAGTATTGATAATTGTATTGCTTCAGCAAATGTTTTATCTCAGCCCCTCCCCACCCTTTGGTTTATACAGAATTACTAATGGACAAGTAATTTCCTAACTTGCAACTTCACCAGCAATGTTATTTCATGCTATATCAATGCATAAGCATTACCACCCCAAAGTCTAAATTTTAAAAAATATAGCAAGTGAAAGTATATGGTAAAGGTATATTCCTAATCAGAATTGCAGGGATGGGGAGGGGGGTCTATGCTTGCTGTTTTGTTAATGTGATTTATAGAATTTATTTACCTTTTGTGAAAGTGTTTTATCTTAATTTTCTGTTTTAGAAGTCTTGTTGACACAGTATATGCATTAAAGGATGAAGTACAGGAATTAAGACAGGTTGGTAAAATATACATAACATACTTTATCAACATGGGTCCTAAGCAATGGGTTAAATGACATGTATTGGGGAAAAGATGGAATCTGTTGGGAGTTATGCTCAAGAATATGAGCAAAAGAACCAGGCTCATTTCATGCGTATAGCACTATGATTCTACTTTAACTGCCATGGCTGTATCCTATGGGAACTTGAGATTAATAGTTTGAGATTGTGAAGGACATCTATGTCTAAAAATTGTAAATTGTAAGTCCCAGGATCCCACAAGATGAACCCATGTCAAAGTGGAATCATTGAGTTCTTTGTGGTCATTGTGACTCACAGCTTTTGGAGGGACTGATGCCAATTTTCTGATCCTAGAACACATTGCAGACCACACCAGCCTTACTAATTCTCCTTGTCCTCCTCTTCGCAATTTATAACCAACCTTTTGCCTAAGATTGGGACTCGTAAGCTTACAAATTAAAATCATTCTAAGGTAATACAAATGCATCAAACCTCTTTAGCCTAAAAGTTAAAATGATAAAAGATGTATTTTTTAAAACACGTTTGAAAAATCAAAATTGGAAGTAGCCCAAAGACTTCTTCCTATTCTGGACTTTTTTTGTTTATTTGGAGGGAAAGCTTTGTGACATGTATATGTAGAATATCCCTTATCTGGAAATCCAAAATGCTCCAAAATTTCCTACATGGATGCTTTGCTTTCTGACGTTTCAGTGTACACAAACTTGGTTTCATGAACTAAATTATTTTAAAAATATTGTGTTTAAAAGTACCTTCAGGCAATGTGTACAAGATGTATATGAAACACAAATGAATGTCTTGTTTAGATGTAGGACCCATCTCCAAAATATGTATATGCAAGTATTTCAAGCCTTTTGGATAAAATATACTGAACCTGTATTTTATTGCAAAAAAAAAAGAAATGGAAGTGGAAAATGCCCCCTTTTGACAGTTTTTTGTATGTTTGTCAGGAAAAGAAGGGCTAAAGGCTGGGGGGGGGGGGCAAGGGAACTTTGAGAGGTGTATTTTCTCACTCCTGATCTAGAGGAAGGGAAGAAGAGGCATCCAACAGTTCTCTTCCTGCTTCCTTCAGATCAGCCTATTTGGTGACAAGGAGGGTCTATCTTTCACTTACCCTGACTTGGTTGTTTCTGTGATAAGGGTTCCTAATGTGGGTCCAAGTTATTTCCTTGCTGCCATTCTCTTTTTAATGTCATCTCTGGTCACATTTAGGTAGTCAGTGTCTGAGCACTTTATCCTCCTATGCTCTTGGTCGGAGTGCTATTGTAAACTTTGAACCCTGAACTATAATTTGAGATACATAACTATGTCTGTGTATGCCTATTTTTCTATATATCACTCTTTAGCAAATAATTAGTTGCATTACTGCTTTCTCTTCCACCCATCCTGACAACTGTAAATGTATGGGCTTTTGTCTGCTTTGATTCTTGCTAAGTTTTGTGGAATTCATGTCAACATTTTTCCAGTTGTTATACCCTAAACATTTCAGAGAAGATACAGGGAAGAAGAGCAGTGCTGAATAATTTTAATTAATTTGATTTTATTTCTATCCTTCCTTTTTCCCAAATCTGGGGCTCAGAAATTCAGAGTTTGAATTATTATGCAAACTAAACATATGCTGGATGTTTTGCATAATTCTGCTTCTAAGAGCCCTTTCAGACAGCCCTATATCCCAGAATATCAAGGCAGAAAATCCCACAGTACCTGCTTTGAACTGGTTTATCTGAGACCACACTCAGATAATGTGGGATTCTCCGCCTTGATATTCTGGGATATCAGAATATTCTGTGTGGAAGGGACCTATGACTCCATTTTAGCAATTGAAATACATCCATTTGGATCCATGGATCTAGATCTGTACTGATACTGCTTTTCTGAAAAGTAAGAAAGCAAACATTAGGATTAGGATTAAAGCTGTTTGACAACCTTTGAGAAATGCAGACTGCAAGTGTGTTGGAAAGGCAGTTGAAATCTGCTTGTATTACATTTTGCATGTATTATACTTCCTTTTTGCACCCTAGCAGCATTGTCTGACTTTTCTCTACCCTCGATTCAAATTATTTCACACATGTATTATTTTTCAGGGAAAAATGTACACAAAGTTCTCAAAGTATTTTTCAGTATGTACATGGTTCTGGAAGCTGATCTGTGCATTACTGAATATTGATTAAGGATAGTCATAAATGTAACTAAAAGAGCAATGTAAAGAAGACTCTAGTTTTGCTATATTTTGATAAGTATGTAGTAAATCTGTGTTTCAGTAATCAAGGTGCAAGCTGGAATGGTTCTTGCTAGTTATTCACACATCTCAGAGCTTTGTAGTGCAGTTCCCTAAACAGAATATCTATGTTAGGAGGAAGGTATGCACAGAAATGCATATGTTAGTGGGGAATGTGCAAACATATGTAAGGAAAATCTGCTTGCAGAAGATGTATGTGTTAAGAGCTGTATGCACCAAAATGTTCAAAAATGTTTGTGTACTTTTGTTTAAAAAATGTGAAGTGACAAAAAAAAAAAACCCCAGATGGAATGAATTTAAGACTGGACAACTGTGGGACATAGTAATGAACATAGTCACCCACCCCTACTTGGTTGTAAATGAACATTGTTTAGAAAAATTGTGTAATAACTTGAGGAGTATATGAAGTGTAAATGGGAAAAAATTGGGTTGCTGTGAGTTTTTTGGGCTATATGGCCATGTTTGGCAGCATTCTCTCCGGATGTTTCACCTGTATCTGTGCCGTCTTCAGAGGTTCTGTTGGCAATGGGAAAATTCATTGCAGTCAGTTTTTTAAATTGACCTTTTGTTCTTGTCTATTTAAATTGCCTTGATTCAATCTATCAAGCAGCATCATTCAGAAATGATGCTGTTGAGTGTGCTGTCTACAAAGTACAAACAAATTACTGACCTTTAGTTGACCAGAAGGAGATCTTCACAAGCTGAAATGGTTCACAACTATTGTGAACTGATGTTCAGGTTGGATATAGGAAAGAGCAGACTGTCAGGCTCCCAACTTCAGCCATCTGAATATAAGTTATATATCTACTCAATTTGTAGATATACCTAGTATTTAGCACTGCCATATTTTTAAAGCTGCCCCCCCCCCCAACTAGAAGAATGTCTTTATGTATTTTTTGTAAAATATCAGCTGAGGCTCTTATAACCAAATACCTTTTCATTGTGTTTTCTGTGCTTCACACATAGTGTATTGGGAATGTGATACCCATCCTACTGCTAGAGTGCAAACATGTAGAGGGTATAGTTTTGCTTCACTACATTAACCATCTACTCTTCGCTAATGGATGCTACTCATAATCCTACCTTTCTATATCTAAGGAAACCATTCTCGTATGTTTCACTACAGAATACAGAAACGTAAGGGAGAGGTTTGGTATATAAGGGTAGGATTATGGATAGCTTCTTCTAGCAAGAGTGTATTGTTAGTACAGTGGAGCACTTTGATCTGTTTGAAAGCCTACACCCAGCACCTCAGCACTTCTTTGCTCCTCTGTCAGTGTAGATTTTTTTATATGGACTTTTGATTGAAGCTGAAACATGGACATGGTTTAGGGTTTATGGAGGAAAAACTGGGGACCAGCCTCATATAATTGCAAAAGTCAGGGGTTTGTTTGGAGGGGGGGGGGGTACCATGAAGTCCATTTTAGTCACTATTTAGGAAAGTGTTCCATAGTTGGCATTTCACACTTTTCAACTTGGCCCACATCACTGATTCATGCTCTGGTTTCTGGAAGAAGTGTGCGTGCTTGGATATCTTTTTTCATATGTTGTGGTTGTGCTGTGAGATAATGAGATTATGGTTTCCAGATGAAACTGAAATAAGACAATTCCAAATGAGATGCTTACCCTGACCCCTAAAATGACATTATTAAATAGCTTTGCTAGCATTTTTTTTAAATCTATCTCAAAAATCTAATACTCCTTGTATTCCTAATATTAAGTCTAATTGAGGCAGCAAAGTGCCAAAAGATCCGAAACTACATCACTAGATGACTAATTTAGAGAGGCCTCGCTTAAAAGCTTACCTGCCAAATCCAAATTGTGAAGGGCTATTCAGGTGCAGTCATATTTACTGCCATTTGGGATTGTTTTATTCTATGTGTCCTAAATAAGGGTTGAGTAGCTGTTCAGCCTTTAGCAACACACAAAAGTCATTGTGCTCAAATTTTCTTGCAGGGATAGTTTTGCAAGTTGCTTTTACTTTTATTGTATATGAGCTTTTGTTGCCATTTTCAATAGTTGTGTATATTTCAAGTTACTATTCTGGCTTTTTATTGTTCAGAATAATTAAAATCTAAGTCAGGCAAAGAGAGTTCTTCTAGCTGTTTGTATTTCTTATTCTTCTGACAGTTTTCTGTGTCCATTAGCATTTTCTTTTTCTTCACATTGTATATTGAGTTCAGCCTTCTGGCTTATATCTCAAAAGCCTTTTCAAAAAGAATATTGTCCAGATTGTCTCCTTTGTTTGGAGAAGGATACCTGGCATTGTCGCCTCTGCCAAAGTCTACAAGCAACTATCTGGAACTAGCTTCCAAGCTTTGTACTTTCCTGAGAAACTGGCTTTGAAAATATCAACGATTCCATATTCCCACCAGATGTACCTATGAGGGCAATGGGACAGCAAGTAGCTGCATACACTTGCTGATGTCATGTTCCATATCTGAAGGAAATCGTGACTCTTTGGAGGCACGAAGTTTTTTACATGACAAGAAGAAAAAAAGCATATCACTTGTCTTCCACCATCTCAGTTTTGACAAAGCCATCAATTTCACCTTTTCAACAGGCTGTGCCAGTGTTGGAAAATTCATTGTGTCTATACTTTCCCCATTTCATGCATCTCCTGCCATAGTCCTAGTCATGGTGGCCCAAATGCTACATCAGTCACAGAAAATGCTAATAATTGCTTCCACATTTTACTTATTCTATTGCTGTCATCTTTCTATAGTCAAGGATTCTTGGCTTAATCTTTCCTCTGTACTGCTGACCTTAAAACCTCAGAGAACTACTATCAAGTTAAAGATCATCAGTATTTCTTTGTTGTAGCACTCCACCCCACACCATTGAGGCAAGGCTGTCATAATTCACTTTGAGGAGAGAGAAAAGCTATGTGGGTAATTAGCAGTTCAGAGGTCAAGAAGTGTAGGAATCAATCTGTAGCTGACAGAGCAACATGCAGAAGAGTAGTCAAGATCTAGTTCCAAGTTCTCAAAAAATAAGACAAAGCAAATAATGAATTTTGTTTCGAGAGTATTTGCTGCCTACCTTCTCTAGAGTGGCTGAGTGTTCAGTGAGAATGACTAGAATAGTCCCAACTGAGCTGTAGGTGTGCTGAGTTCCTCCTAAAACACTCATGAACTGTTTATTCTGTACCAGAGTGAGGTGCAACAAAGTCATGCTGATATTCTCACTTAGCTGGTAGATACAAAGAGATTATATTGTACTTTAGTCTGTGGTAGCCTTGAGAATTGCTAGTGACCAGGGCTGTGTGAATATGGTACCACCTAGTGCTTTGGGGTAGAAAGCTCTTTTCAGAGACAGGCAGTTGCTCTGTCTCTGTGGTTGCTGAGAATTGCCAACAATCAAGCTGTTGCTTTGGAGTGAAGGTTTGTAATATTTCAGGTATCAAGGGTAAGATGTAGGTTGCTACGTCTTATCCTAGCATGCAGGCTATCAGAGCAGCATGTAAACACATCTTGATGTGGATTGTGGGTGGAAGTCACAAGTGTGTGTCATAGCTTTTGTCATTCTGTGGAACTAGGTTCTGATCTCAGTTGGAGATGTATAAGTGATATCTCATGGGCTGAAAATACTATGCCTGCCATATGATTATGGACTCACTGAGGAAACAGCTTTGATCTGAGATGATCCAAAATGTCACTAGTTTGGATAATGTCACTAATTATATACAACCTGGTTAGCAATGTCATCAGACCACTTGGTGTGTGCCATCACTTTCAGACACTGCGCCACTGAATTCAAGTACTTCTCTCTTGAAGTCAGAAGCTCAATTGCTCTTTTCTCTCCTAGTCATGAATCCGATGTGGAAGGGGGCTGCTGAGCTTGTAGCACAAGTAGAGAAAGGGACAGATTTTATTCTCATTGCTTCTTATCCTAGATCTCAAGAATATCACAGAATTAATCACAGTGAAACTTTTCAGCATAGCCACTCTAGTGAGTGTTTAAACTGGTAGGGCAATTAGTTTATTATTGTCATTCTCTGAGATGCTTACTTTTATGTAGAGATTAATTCCAGCCACAAGAAGTTTTTCCTCTTTGCTCTTGAAGATAATGTATTGTCTTTTGGTCTTGCCTTGTGAATTTCCATGGAATGAGTGACAGTAATTGCTGCTCATTCCCCCCTTTTTGGAGGAGAGATTGTTATATATATCAAATATTGTCTGCTGGTCAATATTTTACCAGTGTCTGGCAGCATATCAGATACACTCTCTGCCTTTGTGGCAGCTTGAGCCTATGTGTCATCATGGAGAAATTCTAGCTGGAGCTCATTAAAATCATTGAGGACATTGCCACCTTCTTCAGTTCTGTTCCCTAAGTCCTCTTTGTCCTCTTGCGGAGATTTGGACTTAGTGTTCACCTCAATAATGCTCACCGTATCTGGGTTGTGGTGGCAAAATTTTAGTGGGAGAGGGCAAGAGCCACCTGTTCATCTTTTGCTCGGTGTTTCAAAGCATTGGAACGTGTCATAGTGCTAGTGCAGTTCATACTTGTCTGCAATTTTCTTGTGACTCCTCTCCATGTTTGTAGCTTTTCTTGTCAACATTCACCACTAGAAAGGTGAACTCAGTGCTGTTCACATTTGTGAACGTACCCCGCTTCCTGATATGGTATCAGAAGGATTTTTTCTCAGTGTCAGCATACAGTTTTTATCTCCCCCCCCCCCCCCCTTTTCTGTAAACCAGGAGATTAAGCTGTCTGCCTTCTTCCCCAGGGCACAGCTCTATCTGGAACACTCACTCTGTGGTTTTGATCTCTTGAGTGCCCTTCCTATCTGGACAGAGATGGCACAGTTTCTTATATCAATGTCTGTCTGCTCTGTTAGATGTTGGCTAAGGGGATGCAGTAGCATTTCCACCTTTATAAATTGTTATTGTGTAAATTTCTGGAACTATGTATATGTGAAGTTTTGTTGACCCAGCCTCTCATTTCTTGATTGATGTGCTTGTTTACCTGGTTTTAGGTAAGCTAGCAAGTCACAGAAACCATGAAACAGAAGAGTTTCTTAACTGTAACATCATTGATTGACCATCTGTTCATTCACATAACCCATCCTTCTATCTAGATCAGTGGTTCTCAACCTGTAGGTCTACACGTGTTTTGACCTACAACTCCCAGAAATCCCAGCCAGTTTACCAGCTGTTAGGATTTTTGGGAATTGAAGGCCAAAACATCTGGGGATCCACAGGTTGAGAGCCACTGATCTAGATAATGGTGCACAGCTTTTGGCCTCCAGATGTTTGGGCCTTCAACTCCCAGAAGTCCTAGCCTGCTTGTTAAATGGTCCGGAATTCTGGGAGCTAAAGTCCAAAACACCTGGCGAGCCACAGGCTGTGCACCACTGATCTAGATGTTTCCTTCTGTACTTTCTAACTCTCTGGCAATTAATTGAGATCTGAGCAGGAGAACTGAGACATATTCTTTGAAGAGATAGTGATAATGGTATAGCAGAAAATGTAGACTTTTAGTCTCAGACCCCAGTTCTGCATCATGTCAGTTGAGAATCTTTGCAGGTAGAGATACAATTGTGTGTAAATGTATACGTGGCCACTTGAAAAAACAGTTTTATAGGGAAGCAACCTGATCTCAGTTCTTCCATTTAAGACTTGTATTCTTCTGAGTGTATAAACAGTAAAACATTTAAGCCTTTGTTGCCTTTATCTTAATAGACTGTTTTAATCATATGCTGTTCAGAGTTATTTATTTAAATAATGTGCATTTCTTCAGTTTACCTTTAAAAAATCCTCTACACATTGTTCTGTACAATAAAATTGGAAGATATTTTAGGCACACTGGTATGTTGTTAGTCACCCTTTAACAACATAACAACATGCCTAAAAACATCATTGAATCTTACCAATCAGCTACTTGTTATTATCCTTTAATCATTTTGACATGTTTTGCCATTTGTTCATTCTACCTGAGAGAGTAAAACTGCGCACCTGAATAAGTCTTCTCAGCCAATTTCCCTTGATATAAAAACAGTCATCTTTATGGCTAAAACATTTCAGCTGTTCAGAACATTTTACCATATGTTTGTCTTTTGTTTTACCAGGATAACAAAAAGATGAAGAAATCACTGGAAGAAGAACAAAGGGCTCGCAAGGAGCTTGAAAAACTTGTCCGAAAAGTTCTGAAAAGTATGAATGATCCTTCTTGGGATGAAACCAATTTATAACAGATTATCATTTCTTTCTTTCTGTTGAAAGACCAGTTGTCAATCAAGCTGGGAAAGCTTCTGACATTTCGTCAGTGTTTCATTGAGAGCACTACAAGACAGGACTTTGAACTGGATTTATTTTTTTTTTCTTTCCTACAATGTATAATAATATTCAGTACATTCACTGAAACTGTCTGTACTTAAGTGTAGATAGCATGGACCCTAAACTTGACTCGACTAAACTTGTTTGCATTTAAATTACCTCATCTTGCAGCAAGTGCAACAGCTGGCTATGAAGTCCCTGGTGTTCTGCCCTCTCCTCTTTGTAAATACCTGTGATTTTGAATGCAAATGTGATTCATGTATCAGGACTGATATAGTGTTATACTATCTTCCTGTGGATGCAGCTAAGCGGCAGAAGTGATGACTGACGCTCTGTTAAAATGTATTGAAAATTCTGCGCTGTTCCAAGGTTGTTTTGACCTGTTCTACTTGTATTAGACATTAGTTTGATTTTTTTTATGTCCCAGCATGTTTCCAAGTATTCATTGGACTGTTTTAATAATTTAATCCAATTTATTTATGTCTCTTTAAACCTTCCAACACAGTTTTAACATGTATTCTAAAACATCAAACTGACAATGCAGTAAAATATTAATTGACATTTTGTCTTGGCTTTTTCATATTAAATTGACTATCTTGGGAACCAAGACAAAAAGTTACATTTCATGGGGAATGTCTGAATTCAGAATAGGTGGGTGAAGGTGGACATGCTTGCTCTTGTTTTTTTAAGTTACTAGTTGATTCATGTACTACATTTTAAAATGGTTGAGCCTGTACTTTACCCTACTGCTGGCTAGTATATTAATGGAACTCAGACACTGTGGTTAAAATACAAGACCTAATTAGGGTATTTGGGTTTTGCAGGGCAGCAAGAGTATGTGTGAATTAAATGTATTATTTATTATTATCATGATCAAAGCAGAGGTCAGGTTAATGTGCATGTAGAGCCTTTGGAAAATTCAGACCTCAGGCTTGACATTTCATCTTGTTATTTCCATGCCCTGTCTCCCCATGGATAAGATCAAGTGAAATAGTAATCCATTTACTTTCATTCTTTTTATACAGCAAGTAAAGGAAAGAGAAATAGTGTTTATATGAGGAACAAACACTTCATTTTCCTTTTCCAATAAGAATAAGCTTCAGTTACCTTGGAAAACATCATCGAGATCATGTAAATGAAGTGTGGCACTGTCCTGTTTATTGATCACTGAAAATGCACAGTTTGGATAGTGTGCATGATCATGTCAAATATCTTTTTAGTACTCTGATCTGAAGGTTGCTTGTGGTTTTTGAAGGCAAAATAGTTAACAAATCCTAGTGATGAATCCTACTGCAGAATTTTGGGCTGGTTCCTAACAGCAGGAGTTTTAGGTTATAAGAAGCAGAGCTTTGGTCTAAAAGCAAGCAGCACACTCTCTTTGAGCTTTACTGTATAGTAAAACTCACTTGGTGCCCTAATGCCGATATGTGTGTTACTTGTTCTCATCTGTGATCTGAAGCAGAAAAATACTCAACCCGATGGCACCCAAACACAAGATTGTATTTGTTCCATTTGAATAGAGGGGGACAATCCCATCTCAGGATTTAGAAGGGAAGCCCCGTTTTTGCTCTAAAATGAAGTCTCGCCCCCCCAAAAGATAACACATTTCAGCTGCTTATATATGTGGTATAACTGATTCTTGTATTAAGAAGATAAAGCATTCCCCTTTCCCATGTCTGAAGCAATAAGGCTCAGCTATTTATTGTTTCTTGCTGGCAGCAACCAGAAATGGGCAGCTATATTTCCATTGAAAATAAATGGTTATTGTCACAATAGAGTGCTGGCGTGACCTTATTTCTGGGATGTTTTGCATGACTATTTCAGGTTATGTTTCACAAAGGTAAGTACCTACTTAAAATTTCACATTCCACAAAGTAAGGTATACTGGGCCATAAAGGAGAAAAGAAAATCCATAATCTATAGGTTGACAATATCTTTATTCAAGCCAAAAAAATTAGGTTAGGTTAATAGGTTAGTTCACATTTCTCAAGCTGTAGTCCCATGAGTATCCCTGCTTTGCCATGGTATTGTTGTGTCATCATAATCATAGGCTATCACTTGTGGCCGATTATGATTGTCTTTGAAAGGTAGAGTCTTGGTGATGGGTCCATAAGTGACTATAGAGACCTATTCTGGATCCACATGGTCTTTCTCAGTGAGGACAAGGGTCCAGACAAGGGTTTGCTTGATACCCCTTCCTCTTGACACACTTCTCCCTTTTGCCCTCTGTTTGTGCCTCTTCAAAATTCAGAGCATTATTGGTAACATCTGAACATCTGACCTTCAGTATTTAGGAAGTACTGGCTCGAGTGCGAGGACTTCCCGGTTTTTGGTATTTATGCCACATTTTTAAAGCTTGGCCTTAAGCCTATCTTTAAATCTCTTTTGCTGTCCACTGGCATTCCGTTTTTCCATTATTGAGCTAGACTCCAGTAACTGTTTCGGGAGATGGTGATTGGGCATTCGGGCAACGTTACCAGTCCTGTGAAGTTGATGGTGGAGAATCTCTTCAATGCTACTAGTCTTTGCTTCTTCCAGGACACTGACCTTTGCTCACCTTTCTTCCTGAGAGATTTGCAGGATTTTTCCAAAGACAACACTGATGGAATTGTTCCAGAAACCGAGAGTGATAGACCATGTGTAGTAGGCATACAATACAGTACAGTAGGACAGTAGCTTTATAAACAAATATCTTGGTGTCTCTATAAATGTCCAGATCCTCAAACACTGTGCTTCATCTGAAAAAAATCTGAACTCACAGAGCTCAGACGTGGTTGTGATTTTGGCATTGATGTCGACTTTTGTAGAGAGGTGGATGCCAAGGTAGCGGAAATGGTCAACATTTTCTAGCATTACACCATTAAGCTGTATTTCTGGTATTGCAGGGGCTAGTGCCTGCTGGTAGAGTACTTTGGTTTTCTCAATGTTCAGTGAGAGACCAAGCTTTTCATATGCTTCTGCACAGGTTTTAAAAATGGCTTGTAGGTCTTTCTCTGAGTGAGCACAGACTATATTATCATCAGCATATTTGAGTTCTATAACAGACATTTTTGTGACCTTACATTTGGCTTTCAGCCTGTTGAATAGGTGATTTCCACACCGGTGAGAAGCTTCTTGTTAACATGGTGTAGAATCATGGCTATGAAGATGGAAAATAACTTTGGGGCAATAACATATCCCTGTTTGACACCTGATCCCACCTCAAACTGGTCACTTTGGGAGCTGTTGCTGTCCAAGACTGTTGCTGTCAGGTCATCATGGAGGAGCTGCAAGATGTTCACAAGGCATCCGATTATCAAGAGGATGATCCAGGGAGTATTATGATTCACTGCGTTGAAGGCCTTTGCGAAGCTGAGGAATGCCATGTACAGATGTTGATTTTGATTTCTACATTTTCTTGAAGCTTTTGTGTAGTCGCTGTATAGTAATGGTGCCATATAGAGCAGTAAAAATCCAAAAGAGAGCTCCCTTCCCTAAGGAGCTTTCAACAGGATTTTGCAATTTAGTCCTTACTCAAAGGTATCTTTAACCTTTCCTCCCCTTTAATTCCCATTGCCAATACTGGTTCAGTGTCAATAGAAAGAAAAAATATCATTGAAGGATTTGGGAAAGAACTGGATATAGGTTTGTGGTAAAGATCTCGTTCCTCCCGCTTTCTGCAAATTAATCCACCCTCCCTGCTTCAGTTTTTTTAATGGTTTTAGAGGCACTTTTGTGACACGGCTGAGAGAGCCATTTTTCTTTCTCCTCTTTGATTGACTGTGTGGGTGGAATTTGGGTATTCTTTTCCTCTGCAAAGGGTGGGGACAGGCTCGATGCAGTGGGCCAAGGTCCTGCAGCTATTAGGAGAAGGAAGACAAAATGAGTTTGTTCAAAGCAGTTAAGCCATTTCCCTGGCGATACTAACACTGCTAAAAACCATAATGGTGAAAGAAAAGTCAGAAAGGCATAATTCTGCTTCATTTCAGACTCCTTATTTATTTATTTTTCATATCAGGAGCGAACCAAACAGTTGTATTGTATTTTAAAAAAAACACACACCAAGTTTGAAAACTTGACATTCTATTAAATGTCCTTTGATCAGTAGCTGGCCACTTGGAGGTCCTCCATTATTATGCATGTGGCAGGGCTCAGACTGCATTGTAATAGGTGGTCTGTGGTTTGCTCTTCTTCTCACTCGCATGTTGTGGACTCCACTTTGTGGCCCCATTTCTTAAGATTGGCTCTGCATCTCGTGGTGCCAGAGCGCAGTCTGTTCAGCACCTTCCAAGTCGCCCAGTTTTCTGTGTGCCCAGGACTCCTTTTACAAACCCATTAGAAAGTTCATCCAATCCACAAGACCTTTGAATGGGGAGGCAGAATACCTCCATACATTGTTGCGAGCACCATTTCTCCATAGCATTGCCTGAAATCTTTTCCTTGACAGTGGCTATATCCAATGCATGAAAATGGTGACTAAGTGAAAAGTACGATTCCACTTTCCACAAGCAACCGAAGAGACTAATCCAGAAGTACTCAAGGGGTCTATCCTCCCAGTGCCACTTCTAGGGGATGTAGGAGATATATGCCTAAATCTACACAGAGGAGCTAGCTCATTCTTTCCAGAGGATGTGTCATGATCACCAATTCCTTACACGCTACATGGATTGCTATTGCTTATGTGTGAGTGTGTCTGATCTCAGACCTCAGTTCCCTAGGTAACCACTCAAATGACAACAAAGCTCTTAGTGATGTCACATATCACAATGTCCTTCAGTTGCTCACTCCTGGTGTTGAGGAAAGAAATAGACAGACTGGGCAATTGGGAAGATTTTGAAGAAGAATAAAGTTAACTTAGTAATTATAGTAGGCCAACCAGCTGCTCAACATTATGGAAACATTGCTTTTACCCATTTGCTGAGAGTTGAAGACACAACAATTGTTGACTACCATAAAAATTGTTGGTGCTTTTTTTTTCCTTTACAGTTCTATTAAAGGCTTTTAAGGGATCAGCCCCAATAATTCAATTAATGAAGGACATGGAAGAACATGGCCAGAACCTAGGATTTCTTTTCCTAATGTATTGCTTAACACTGTGGTCTCCTGGCGCTTGTGTACACTTGTCTGATAATATGGCCAAACCCATACAGTCTCCACCCTTGGCTCATCAGCTGAAAAAACGAAGTGCTAACTTTCTCCAGTATGGGTTTGCAGGTAAGGATAGATCAGTATCACACTATAATAATATCCAAAGTCTATACAACAGTGATACTTTTATTAGGCCCATCAAAAAAGCACAAAATGCAAGCTTTTGATGTTGCATTGCCTTGCTGCATGAAGCAAATATGTTAGAAATCATACAGAAGGAAAAATGACAGTGATGCTTGGATGCATTAAGTCAAAGGTAGAATTAAATTGTACTTCGACTTATTTGTGTGCTGTTGTTTGCAGTAATATTTACATATGTTAGAGACTAGACTACCTACTTCCTGACTTTCTTCAAACCTGGACATTATGCTGGTATAGGTATGCACATAATCTGGATTCTGTTCGCAATTCTGTGATCATTTTGAATGTTAATT